CCATCCACCCACCCATCCATTCATCCACCCACCCATCCATTCATCCATCCATCCATCCATCCATCCTTTCTTTTCCATCTTCCTTCCTTCCTTCCTTTCTTTTTTTCTTTCTTTCTTTCTTCCTTCCTTTCTTTATTTCTTTCTTTCTTTCATTCTTCATCCATTTAATCATTCATTGATTCAAATTCATCTATTCATTCGACTCCTCCATTCATTCGTTTTTTCATTCTCGTTTTCAAAATTGTCGATTTTTTCAGCATGACTGGTCGAGAATTTTTCACAAGGTTTCCTGAATTGCATTCCTTTCTCTTGGAAGAAATGAAGAAAGCAACAGAAGCCATTGAAAAGTGAGTATCCAAACAGGATCTTAGTATACAACTGGGCAGTCATGTTCTGTGTTGTTTCACTCCTTCGGGAGTTATTAGAAATAATAACTTATAGGTGTAATATTAATAATTAAATATTATTATATAATATTGCTCTTTATATTCCTCTGTTTCTTAGATCTTTGGCTCTCGACCTTCATCCAAGTCTTTATCCAGTCCTTGTCCTGCTGTCAAGGTTGTACCCGTCTTCCATGGATGGGGTTGACTCCACCCTTAACATGTCTGCCTTTATTCCTTATGTCATAAGGTAATTCCTTAAACCACCCTCCACACTCAGCCATATGCACGTCACCTGACCAAAAAGACACAGGCAACCCAAAACTGTGGTGCACAGCTTAACTAAGACCACAGATGGCCTAATGAAGGCTTTCCTTAGTATAACGAAGTTGAAAACTGTTTGAAAACAAACTGATTAAAAACAAACTGGTTGAAATCATACTGGTTGAAGATTTATTCGAGTTTGTTGYGTTACGTATGTACTAGCCATATTTGGAATGATGTAAGTGATCACGCAACAGTATTCGTAATTTGAAGAATAAATCAGTTCTGCTCCAGATTTTGTGCTGTTTAGTTGTGTTTTTGTTTAGTTCAAGTTTTAGTTTTAGTTTCACTTATTTTCCTGCAACCTATCTTGGAAAAGACCTGCAATGAGTTTCATCATTCTTGCCGTTCAACATCCACTTGGTCACATTAGTATTTTTTGTTTATTTGTTTCAGGTGTGGTGGTAGTTCAGTGCTCAAGACACGTGCCATGGCTGCCCGTGCTATCGTACCGTTAGTTGCTGGAGAGTGTTTAGTACAAGTGTTGCAAGACCTCATGAACTCACTCCCTGTCAGGTAGGTATGGGATAACAATGTTTGTCAAGTTATAGTCTGCGTAGCTTTATGCAGGTTATGAGTTCATGTTGTTATAAACTACTTGTTTACAGATTAGTCAGTGTTGAACAAAACAAGATGCATGGTACTTTACTACAGGTACAATTAAAATAACTCTTCTCTTCTCTTCTCTTCTCTTCTCTTCTCTTCTCTTCTCTTCTCTTCTNTTCTCTTCTCTTCTCTTCTCTTCTCTTCTCTTCTCTTCTCTTCTGTTCTCTTCTCTTCTAATATTACTTCTATGGTGCCTTGTTGCTTCTCACTTTTATTTAATATCCATTACCAACTCTATTTTCATTCCCATATGATTCAGATCCAACATCTTGTGCACGAGCATCTTGTCGAGGCAACTCCGTCAGAAAACATCAAGAGTCTGGTAACAAGTAAGGTGCTACAGCTTTTTGATAAGTTAAGCTGGATCGCGGACAGGTATGTAAGGGTGTATTAATAACCTTATACACAAAAAACATCCATAGTACAGTTGTTCTTGAATGGTAGAGAATAAATGTCAGCAACATCCCTTATTATTTTACTCATTCTTTATTTTTTAGTTCAAATCCTTGTGCCATGACTTGTGCAGTTTTCCTGGACATTACCTTCAAACTGTTCATTTGTCTGGACTGGCAGACAACAGGTATGTCATAAAATTCTAGTTACAAGGTGAAGGGAAGCGTGAGGGGTAGTGTCAGTAATTTGTTCGAAGATAGTAAGATATTAATTGCTGATAATTCACTTAAAAAAAGAAAGCGTGCAAGGGATTCTGGTAGTAGTAGTAAAATGGAAGAAAGAAATAATAAATGAGAATGAAACAAGGCTGCGCAACCAAATCAAAACTGTCCTCGACATTACAAGACTTGGATGGGAGTTAAAAACTCTGAAGTGGTTTTAAATTATCTCTGGTGAGAAAGAATAACTGTTTAGCTGTTAATAACTGTTAATAACTGTTTTAATAACTGTTTTAATAACTGTGAAAATAAAATGAATCTTAAGGACTTGTACGTTTTTTTTCAGGTCTAAAATGTAAACACTTGAGTACACATACCACGGACAATGTATTGCACATGCGCAGATACATTACCCATACTGCTCTACGTAAATTTACAATAGTAAGATCCAGACCTCGCATGGCCGTATCTGTCGGCGAAGTTCTCGTCAAGGAAATTTGTGCACGAATCTGCTTGAAAGCTGTCAGCGCGTGTGGTATGAATAGTGGGGCAGATTCGGGATCCGATCAAGAACACGTACGAGAAACTATGAACTGTACACAAGAAAATATGGTTAAAAGAATGTCATTTCAAACACCAAATCACCATCAAGTGATAAAATGCCTCCTAAATTCACAAGATTACGAAGTACGCCTTGTCACGCTAGAACACTTGAATGCCTACCTGTCACGCAATCACTCACTGTCACGTAGTGTAGATATAGCCAGTTACCATGGTAACCATGATAATGGGGAGATCCTAGATGGTCTGACGGAGGCTTTGGAGAGAGTTGTTTTAGCAGAGAGTCATTTGGAAGACATAGCAGTTGATGTACTGGAGATGGCGATGGAGAGAGAACAGCATCTGGACTGCTTGGGACAGGTAACACTTTTCATCAACGCATGCGTACAAAACGTATGCATTGGCGTGGAATAATTTGCAGCCAGACTTACAAAATGCAGAGACGTTTTTCCCTTGTGTCATTAGAAACTGCCATCCATCCATCCATCCATCCATCCATCCATCC